ACTGGCCCGTTTTACAGCGGATAAACTTTTTACAGAGACTGTCGCGCGACCACCTTAAACTCGAAATAATGTTCATTTCATCAATAAATTATTTAATGTTGAAAAATAGGAATGGTAATGTTTAATCAGCGCATTGATATGCGTGAAAAGAGGGATCAAGTTTTGCATGAAGAATATACGGCGTAATAATGGTAATGACGATGGTGAGAGTTAAAGAGTAAAAAATGGAAGGGATAGGCGAATGGGATTAGATATCTCCGTGATCCTACCCGTTTATTACCATTTTCCCATTGTCTTCGTTCATACTGCAATGAACGAGAGTCTCGCGGGTCAACCGTGAATTTCTCGATAAAATCCAGTCGTGCTGGCGAGGGAATTGTACAGGATTCTTCAAAAAAAAAAAAATGATCATTTGAACTGGCGCTGACTGAAAAGAAATGTCGAACGAATTTTCGTCACCGCGAGTTGCTGTAAAGTAATTGAACAAATGTTTATAGATTATATTTTTATCTTCATTGCTTTTCTATTCGAGATATTTATCCCCCTGTAATCGATGATCGAATTGCGATTTTCGTAAATTTAATTGAATGTTCCCCTCCATCTGTGGAGTTGCATAATAATATAATTTATATTAAATAATTCGATTGATATTAGAGATATTTCTTTTTTTTTAATCGATTATTGAATTACGAGTTTTGGAATTTTTATTGAATATTTTTTTGTGGTCTGTCGATGGTGTTGGATGATTTGATTTAATACCGCTGATGAATTTTTATCAGAATGATTGTGGGTTGAAAAAAATATTGTCAACTTTCTTGGTGTTTTGAAACGCACTTGATATTTTCTAGTTGAACTAGAACGAGGGGCGACCGCAGGGCAACACTCGCTAAGATTTTCAGTATAAGAGAGCACTCGTGAAAGAGTGTTGAGAGGGTTGCCGCCTTTAAAGCGATTGGTTTTAAATATTTATACCGGCCTGCTTCGAGCTTATTAATTATTAATGAACATAACTCCCTACATTCCGTTATCCCTGCGTTCTCCTGACAGCTTTTCAATATTTTTAGAAAATCCATTGACGTTTTCTCAATACTGCACTCAATTTTTCTCCTTCAAAGAAGAAAATTTCAATTTTCAACCCAGACATTATTTATTTAAACTAATTTCAGTTCCTTTATTCATCTTTGAATTGCTATAATTGCAGATATACTTGTAATTATTTATATTTTTGTAAAAATACTAAATATTGAAAAGATTGTAAAAAACATTTTTTTGTTGACAAAAAAAAGAATTGTGTCGATAGGGAGAGTAGTCTTTTAATTTGGGAAATGCCTCCTCAGCGCCTAAAGTGTTTGGGAAAATCCTCGGAGAGAATCGATAAGTACGTGGAAAGTTGAGATGACTGAAGATTGATACACCACTGCATCTCTTTCCATCTCATTCCCGGATGTTTACTCTATTTTCCGTGTGCACTGCCTGGAAATAACACAACCCTCCATTTTCCTGATATTTTCCTCTCCGCTTACTATTGACATCAGACACCCACATCCCACACCCACCATTCGATATTTTGACGTGATATTGATATTGATCGTTTGCATAAAATGATTTCTCTGCTTTTGCGCGGAAGCGGAAGATTTTCATCCATTTAATTTCACCAATATCACACACGAATTATTACTAATACATTATTCTCATTTTTCTTGTCTTATCACATCCACGTGAAATGGTGGCCGCTCTAAATAACCCATCCTTTCAATATTCCATTTTTATTAAAACGACAAATAGAATGGAAAATATTATAGGTAATGTACTAAAACGTAAAAATGACTATTTTGATCGTGGGATATTTTGGTTTAGTGTTATTTATTATTTTATACAACAGAATTACGAGAATTATCTATGAAATGAAGAAATGGATAGGAGCCGGATAGCTCAGTTGGGAGAGCACCTTTTTTGTTGAGAAACAATGTTTTTTATTGTTGTTCAACAATATGTACAGGTATTTACAAAAGAAAATTAAAAAGCTAGTCTAAACAAAAATTTCCAAAAACAAGGGCTTTAAGGAACGGCCAATGGCTACGTAGACCTCTCGTGCTGTAACATTATGTGAGGAAAAACCTCTAGTTTTTTCGATACAATAATTTTGTTGGGGAACAATAAACATAAACGAAAGGTTTTCACAATATAAGTTTTAATAATGGCCTATAAAAAGAAAAAAAAAAGGTGCTGAGTGAAAAAGAAAAAAAATGCCAAAAGTATGCGCTAAGTGAACAAAGGGGTAAAGGAAAGAAAAATAAAGGAAGGAGAATACATATTCCTCCCCCCCCCCAGGTGGGAGAGCATCCGATGCATAATCGGAAGATCCTCGGTTCAATTCCCGGTCTGGACTATCCATTTTTCCAGTAATTTTTCTTGTAAAAATTACACGGAGAGAAAAATACCCGACAAATTACGGAACTTTCGCGTATTCGTGGGGTGACCTTGCTTTTCGGGAAAAAGTACTGGAGGTACCGTAAAATTGTCCTGAAAGTTTCGTAAAAACTCCTGCTCGCTACGAAAATTGTTATGGAACTTACAGTATTTTTTCCCGAAAACCAAGGTCACCCCACGAATACGAGAAAGTTCCGTAATTTTTCCGGTATTTTTCTTTCCGTGTATATCGAGAATTGCCCTGTTCCCCTTCCTGCCTAATCTAAATCCTATCTGACGACTCCATCATACGTTTTTATGGGATAACATAAAACTGGCTGGTCTGTGCATGTGATATTTTGATTTAGTGTTATTTATTATTTCCTACTACAGAATTACGAGAATTATCCAAGAAATGAGATGATTCTTTAAGGTTGTTGTCGCGTAGAATTTTTTTTCGACAGTTTTCGTTAACAATTTTATGGTGAATAGTTTGAAAAATTAGCAACAAAATGAGCCTTTTCCGTTTGCAATTGACCGTTTTGAACTTGAGATATAAATTTTTGAAATTCGAGTGATTTAACACGTGTT